TTTTCTTCCCACTTCCCCAAAATTCATCAATCTTTGACAGATTTTTTTTCCTTCCTCTCTTATTGACCCTTAATGTTGCTTCCGCCATGTGATCCAATACGCCAGTATCTGATAGTGGCGATTTTTCAAATTCCTCTAATAAATTTAAGGTAGGTGCTGCCCTTTTCTCACTCAAAGAAATGATTCCAAGTCGGTTATGCTTTGTAGATTTAATGCTGACCCCTGTTTCATCGTCTCCTTCTTCGCTATCATATTGCAAAGTATGATTGACTTCTCGTTTCATTTTGTTTGGTAAATCATCCACCAGAGATTTCAACGTACAGCTTGGTGTTTTGACGATTTCAAAAAAGTCACTTTTTGATAATGGTCGTTTAGGAGAGAATTCAGTGCTTCTTAAAGGTGTCATTGACTCATCATCAAGGGGCTTCAACAACCTACAAGATGGATTTTGATTGCTATTCTCTTTCAAAAATTCTCGTTTTGGTGATGGTCTTCGGAACGTATTGTGGCCGTCAGTAGAATTTTTTTCTAATGACACAGCTGGCTCTGGTGATGACTTCCGGAACATATTCCAGGCCTTGCTATTCTTTTCTTCAAACACCACGGGCTTTGGTGATGGCATTCGAAATGTATTCTGGGCCTTGCTATTTTTTTCTTCAAATGACGCTATGGGTTTTGGTGATGGCCTTCGGAACGTATCCCGGAACTTATACTTTTTCTCTAATGAAATGGTGGGCTTTTGTGTTGGTCTTCGAGAATTACTTCGGTACGCGTCATTTCTTCCTTCTAATAATACTGGCGGTTTAGATGATGATGGTCTTCGAAAGACATCTTTCGTCAAGTTTTTTTGCTCTTGTGAAACACGCGTCTTCATTTGTGACCCATAGTTCCATCCAGCTTCAATATCTGAATCTGAATCTGAACACATGCTCTCCAGGATCGAACTAGCAAATTTATACTTCCGAGGTGATGTAGAAAGCCTATGCGAGAACCTGACTTTGGGTTTTATGGGTGATACCAAAGTATGCTTCTTCGGTGAAATTTTTACAATTCCTTGCTCTGGAGAATGAATATCAAGTAATTTTTGTTTATCTAAGACTTTGGATGTTTCCTCAGTAGTAGTAAAGTTCTCTTTGAAATCATTAGACCGTGAAGCTATTACTAAAGTTCTCTTGGCCCTTTTTTTAAATAGTGAAGTTTGTTGCTGCATGTTGAAAGGTTCGGAGAAGAAATTACATATTACATCATTGAATTTTGATGCGTATAATTTATTAATAAAATAAGTAATTTAATTAACTGATTTTTTTAAAGAAAAGAAGTTAACATTAAGGGTCAATAAGAGAGGAAGGAAAAAAAATCTGTCAAAGATTGATGAATTTTGGGGAAGTGGGAAGAAAA